AATATATCTATTGAAAATATATTTGGTTAAAATTTTTTGTATTAATTACGAAGTTGGTATTAGCATTCTTTTGGATTTATATATTCTATTTAGAGAGCCATTAATGCGTATCGATATGTTAAAAAGATTTAAGTTATAGGCCTATTGACGCATTTTTCAAATTTGTATTACAATTAGCTTTTCAATAATCGTGTATTGGAATAATTATATGGATAGGGTATAATTTTATAACAATCTCTAATAAAGTTGCATAAAAATCTTCTATAAGGATTTTTATATTACAATTGTATTCAACTCATTTATGCGCTTTTTTTATAATAAACTGTTAAATCATTAAGAATTGAAGGGTATTCTTAGATCTTTTCAAATTTGATTAAATAAAAAGTTTACCTAGTGTCTATAACTTTAAAGTATACAAATAGAAACAATTCATAATAAAGCAATTCTCAGTAAATTATTATGTAAAATAATGATAATTGTATCAATTTATTAAAATATACAGTAAAACCTCTATAAGTGTACCCTCTATAAATGCATGCTCAAATTCTGGCCCGATTATATATATGACCTATATAAATGTACTTTTTCTTGTTGTGCATATTGTTAAAATTTGGTCTCAGGAGCGCGTAATTATAGAGGTTTTACTGTAGAATTTAAATAATACGGGCTTACTTTTTCTTGTTGTTTATCATGAATATATTAAGACCCCACATATTTTTAAGTAATTAAATGGTTTATTATAAAAAAAAATACATGTTATTACTACAAATAATGTGAATGTAAATTTAAATATACAGTAAACCTTTATAAGTGCACCCTCTATAAATGCACGCCCTCTCTAAATGCATACTCAAATTCTGGCCCGACTATATATATGATCTTTATAAATGCACTTTTTTCTTGTTGTTCTTTAAGTGCACATTGTTAAAATTTGGTCCTGAGAGCGCGCACTTATGGTGGTTTTACTGTATTAATCTAACAACAACTTTTGGCTATTTAATAAAATCTTCAAGGTATGTAGAATATTGTTATTGTTAGTTGAGTTGAATATTATATATCTTAATAAACATTATTAAACATATCATTAAAAATACAATTTTTACCTTTGCATATTCTAAGTTGAATGCATGCTCAAATTCTGGCTAGACTATATATATGATCTCTATAAATGCACCTTTTCTTATTATTTTTTGTTAAAATTTGGTCCTGAAAGCGTGCGCTTAAAGAGGTTTTACTGTACTGTAATAAAAAGTATAATATCAAAACAAACAATAATTACAATACTCTAAACCCAATTATGTTACTCTTGTCTTTTAATTATCGATTGCAACTTTTGATTCGCGATTTTTATAATTTCTATAATTTCTATGATTTTGCAAAATGTTATAAAAGGACATGAGTTCGTATTAGGGATAAAAAGCTTGGTAGATAAATAATAAATTACTTGCCATCTTCAATAAAATTCATTAATCCTAAACGCCAAGAACTATTTCTTGAATCCCCATCATATTGTAATTGTAATTAAACCATCATAATAGGTCGACTAAATTCACGAAAGAAACAACTTAAAAATAGTTGAGAGTCGCGAGTATGTGAACAAGGTGAAATATTTAAGAATATTAAAAATAATCCCCTAATGGTACTTAATTATTTGATTCTAATATTCATGCAATTAAATGATAACAATTTTAGTTCTATAATAAAAAAAATTACTGAATTTCGAGAAATGAATTTTAATGATCAAAAAAATTTTCTTGATCATCTAATTCCAACATTTGCTCATCTAAATGATGACGACTTCATTTCTAGGATGAAAAATATCTTTGAATCTCGAGAAATAAATATTTGTGTCCAAAAAGAGTTGCTTGATCAACTAATTCTAACATTCGCTCAACTAAATGATGACGACTTCATTTCTAGGATAAAAAATATCTTCGAATCTCGAAAAATAAATATTTGTGTTCAAAAAGAGTTGTTTGATCAACTAATTCCAACATTCAATCAACTAGACAATGATGACTTTAATTCTAAGATAAGAAAAATAGTTGAATCCCGAAAAATAAATACCTATATTCAAAGAAAACGTAATGACATATTTATATGTCTTTGTAATTTACCTGATCAACAAGTATGTGATGCATTAAATCTTCTTCAAACTATGACCTATCCTCGAGGAAATCATAAAAGAGAGATAATTTCTATATATTTACAAAAAAAGGTACGTGAATTTCTTGACACTAGTTTTTATAAACACGGTTGCACTATTGATATATTAGAATTAGAAAATAAAATCTAAGCCAAAAAAATAAGCACTTAAAAAAAAATAAATATATCACCAGAGCCCGATGCCATTCATTCTCAGTATAAATAGCAAGAGCAAAACAGTAAAGACTAAAACGAGTTTCAAAATTTCGATCTGCTATTCATAAAGCCAAACAAATTCGTCCTGCTCAATTTCAACGTGCAGCTAGCAAATTATTTAAATCTAATAATAAAGAATATAATGCCAATTTTGTAAAATTAGCTGCTGATATAAGTAATATAGGGCAAACCTCAATACACGCAACAGTAGAATGTATTAAGGCCATATATCAATTCTTGACTGGAGAGACGCCACAATATTGGATAACATCAACAACTTTGTCACGATAGAATAATGAAATCGCAGCTATAACTTCTAATCAAAATAGTCCTAAAGAGACTTCTTCTAGGTTTTTCGGTTATGGTATTATGGCCAATAAAAGTACGCGAGGTAAAAAGAAAGTATTAATTATTTGTTTTTCATATTGGAATAATATTAAAGAAAAGCCAATAATTACCGTTGCCAAAGTAACCGATATAACACATTGTAATGCAGAAACAATTTCGACTACGGTATATGAAATATGTAAACAAAAAGGAATTGATCCCCAAATGTGTTATTTTTGGCTAACTGACAATACGGCTTATATGTCTTTGGAGGCCAATGGTGCAATCACTAAATTTAATTTATTAGCAGCTTCCAAATCATTTCGAATACCTTGTGGATTACACGCAACCCATATTGCTCTAATGAATTTTGAAAATAAAGCATTTGGAAAGTTAGATACTATTAAGGGATTATCATTAAAAGAATATCTATTTAATTTACTTAATCTTGCTTTTCACCTTCATGATAGATATGATCTTTCAGATAAGGACAGCCCGTTAAATCTAAAATCTGAAATAATAAAAAAACTTTATAAAATGCTTTTTAATTTTAAAATAAGCAAGTATCAACAATCTATTCGCCAACGGTGGTTATTTGAACTTAAAACTGCAAAACAATACCTTGATAGACGCGAAACTCATATTTGTTTTGCACAATTTTTCATCAAACAACTTGAAAATGCCAAAAATATTCCAAAATCATACTTAAATAAATGGAAAACTTTTCTTAAATGGCTTACAGATAAATGACTTAATCTCTAAATACGATGCCTTGTTAAATTCGGTCAAGAGTTTTATGAACCCGTTTACAATTTTTTAATCAGATATGACCCAACTCTACAAATCTATCAGCCAAATAAAATAAGCACTCTTCCATCAGGTAACCGTGCATATAAAATGCCAGATAAAATAATTTTCTGGATTTAAGAGCTTTAATATTATTCAAAAGACATTTACAAGTTATTCGGGGATGAATTAGCTGATGCTGAGAATGAGTTGAATGTAATCGATTTTGAAAATTTTTGTGAATCATTACATATAGGGATGGAAAATACATTAAATGGATTTGTTAAATAGATGAATATTTGGATTCACTTGCCTTTAAGTATTTGTCGATTGGGTGGAGAAAGTGGGCCAGAGTTCGCATGTGCCTTTTTAAAAGTTTTTTTTAATAAAGATTCATTAAAAATTCCTACCTCAAGAAAAATCTTATATGTTGAGCTTTTGAAGAAGGATTTGTTTAATAGACGTTCAGCTATATTTGGACTATTAGAAGCGCTATCACAATGTGATTTTTTTGAAGAGTTTGAAACATTTGCAAATTCTGACAAAACAGAACTAATACAATTCCCTCTAATATATAAATTCATTAAATTTTGCATATAGAGCATTGCGATACATCAACAACAATTAGAGGGATTATTTAATCATTACAATATAAAAGTTCATCCAAATATAGATGCTTAGTTACAAGAATCACGCATCCAACTCTCTGGCTTAGACGGTAGACTTCAAGATATTTCTCAAGATATGTTGCGAAATATTCGGCAAGATATAAAAAAGTCTGAGACTAGTAAAAATTTAGAAAATAATAATAATTCCAGAGAAAAACAAGTATATGAAATTCTTAACAGTTTTCTTATTTGGAAATGTAAAACTAATTACAATCCTAATAATGAAACCTGTATAATATAATGATTCATCTTTTATTTTGATGTTCTTACAAGGTCATGTTATTGCTTTGTAAACTAGATTTTTAAGGTTTTCTTGAATTAATATATAGCCCTATAAATAATATATTAATAAAATGATATAAGGTTATAAAGCTAAACTTTCAAACCCAAACACAGGTTGTAATGTCAGTATTAATTATTATAGATAGTAGTCGCTTGTAACCATTAAAAGCTATTGTATGATAGATCTTTAGCCAAGTTGGTAATATTTCTCTATATTCTTAATTCTAAAAAA